ATAAAATTGATTCATAAAAATAAATATTTAGAAATTATTAATTATATTGACAATTGTTAATGATTTTAGGCTTTAATTATTTATTAATTTAAATTTAAATAAAGATTGTGTTTTATTTATTTTTAAGTTACATTTTTTTTATAAAAAATGATAAAAAAGTTTTATATATAGATAAATCAATAAACGTACAAATTTGAGTTATAAAAAGTTTTATCATTTTTATAACAAATAGATTTTTAATAAATAATGATTTATGTTTTAGAAATATTATTACAATTTGATTATTCATTAATTTTCAATTTTGATTTTATAGATTTATTATAGTTTTTGACTCTTATAGTTTTGACAGTACTATCAAAATCTATAGGCTTTTCTCTGTTACTTTATTTATACTATATATTAATAATAATATATACTAGAAAAATAGAGACCATTGTTAAGTCTAAAATGATCTTAATTAAAAAATTCACATTTTGTGCAATTACAAAAGACAATCAGCATTGTCTCAATTATTGAGTAGGCAGACACTGGGATATTTTTTCATTGTATATAATTCTATACTTAATTCTGAACTAATTACTATATCAGCATTCTCTTTAAACTTTAAGTCATCATGTATAGTGTTTTTTACTGATAATTAAACAAAGATTTATTTTATTTATTTAAAAATTAATTACTCTTGAATCATCATCTTTATTACCAAAATATTTAGGTAGTGTCACAATAAAAAGAAGGAATAAAATATTTTTGCAGTTTTGAGAAAATCGCAATTAAACATTATCACGTGAATTTCACATGATCACGACAGATTTTTCAAAAATAATTCTTATAATTTAAGATAAAATTTTACAAGCAACTTTTTAAAAACATTGGCTTTTCTTTTAGTGTATTTATATTTTATTTATGATATGAAAATACAATATATGATCTTAATGAAGTTTGTGTAAAAATTCACAATTTCTTTATTTTATAAGCAATACTTTCTAAGTTAGCAGAATTTTAAGTTTTAAAACTAATTATAACAAAATAATATAAGCTAAAAATACTTCAATTTAGTATTTATTCTATAAAATTTTATATTAAATATTTTATATTTTAGGATTTATGTCTATACATATAAACAAATTATTAATTAGTTTCAGATCTATTAGCGTTAGGTTTAGGACAAGTAATATCACAAAAGGGTAAATTGGCATAGGATACAATTTCGTTATTCTTCTTGTCTTTTTAAAGAAAGTAGCCTAACACTAATTTTAGAAGGTAAGGTATTGGTATTATAAGAAAAAGTTCAAACTTTAATATTTTTGTAATCATCTTTAAGTTTATCTTTATAAAAGTTAACTCTAGGGTTTTGTGAAGTAAAATAAAAATAATAATATCTTTGAATGTTAGATAATTTTTTAAACCTTTGAAAGTAAGTTTTAAAATTATGATATTAAAAATCTTTTTCATTAAAATAACGCTGAGCAATGTTAAAATTAATCATGATAGAATAATTAATGATTAAAATCACATCATTCACGATATTTACTTTGCTTTCTGATAAAGAATATTAATTAGACCAAAGCAACTATTACAAATAAACTTAGTATGATCAGGTATCATGAAGTTTAACTCAATTTCATCATAAATACTATGATTAATTAGCCACAAATAAAAAAATAATAAATAATTATTTTTGTTTTGACTTACACAATTATTGTATGTAATGACTAATTTTTTTTTCACAATTATATTTTGAGTTGCATGCTAACCAAGCTTAATATACAGTTTGCACTTTTTTTTTGTTTACCATTATTAGGCATTTTGGCTTCATTAATTACATAATTAATCTGTAGTATATAAAAAAAGTTACCAGTATTGCAAACACTAAATAAATGCATATTTCGAAGACTTTTAAAAAATAAAGTTCCTATTTATTGTGGTAAATAAGGAATTAGCACATTTTGAGTCCAATTATATGCAATGTAAGCATTACCTTCTAATGTTTTAAATAATACTTGAAATTAATTGCATTTGAATTACACTTACTATTTTCAACTGCATCATAATATTAGTATTATAGTATTTATGTTCTTGCTATGCATAATTTAAATGAGCCAAATAATTTTCTATAACCTCTAATTCTTTTATGTCATATGGTATACTGAATGCTTATTTTCATTATTTCACAAGTTTCATATAAGTCAGACTTTAGTGACATAAATTTAAGTGATGGTATTAGGACTTTTTAAATAATAATAAAAGTTAATCTAGCCATAATACAAGTTTCTATATCATGTTTTCCTTGTAAGCTTACATATAGTTATGATATACTGAAGAATAACTAAAACTAGTTGAAAGAAATACAACTGGTGTGGAAACTTCATTGCAATGCCATCTAGGTGAAAGCATACCATATATATTAGAATAGTTTTTTAAAAATTCAAATACATCATGTATTACATCTAAATTTACTTCTATACAGTTCATATTTTTGAAGCTTTGCCAGTATTGCCATGTATATATTCTTCAAGACCACATTCTCGTAAATATTATATCATGATATCTAAATACTTATGACTAATTCTAACAAGAGTCTGATAAGTAGTATGACGTATTAAAATATCATTATTATAGCAATAATTAAAGCATAAGTATTTTCTATTATTACTAGTAATTTTTCTTATATTTTTATCTTTTTGAAAGTCTATGAGTTGTCCTTTAATAACTATATCCTGCATTTTTTTATCTAAACTTTCAAATTCAATTCGATGTTTAAGAAACTTCTCGTAGTCAATTTGCTCAAAACAAATATTTTTAGAATGACAGAAACATTTTCCTTTTCTAAATAATTCTTTAACTTTTGATTTCAAATCATTATAAACTTTGTCTTCAATATAATTGTCAGGATTTTCCACAAATTCGAAGTTATTTAGGTTTATTTTATCAAAATTATTTTCAAGACTCTCAATATCACTATCAGAATCAGATGCATGGTTATCTGATATATCTTTTTCACTTTCTGAACTTAAATTTTCAACAAAAAAAGTATTGTTCAGTTCTTCTAAAGAAGCCAATATAGTTTCATTAGCACTTTCGTTATTAAAATGGATGCTATACTCCATGCTATTTTCTAGCATTTGTGAAAAAAAATTTAACGAATTTTTTCAATGAAAAGGCAACAAAAATTTCGCATTTTCTACTATTATATTATGGTCAGAAAAAGTTATTCTCCAATAGGTTAGATCGATGTTCATATGATAATAATAAAATCTCAAATAAATTCTAATTAGTATTTTAGAATGTAATCAAAAATAAAAAAAACTAAAAAAGAGATAAATAATAAGACATAAGATAGAAAATACAACTTTTACGAGAAATATAAAAAATATATCTTTTTATAAATAATATAAAGAAATACAACCAATAAATTCGAATTATGATACATAGCAAATCGGATTGTGATTTACTGGCAACGCTCCCAAATGAATTTGCGGTTAGCCACTAAAATTATTATAATTATTAAATTGTTGTTGTTGAGAGCTATTATTGACAACATTTGAAGTCGAATTGTCTACAGGAATGATAATAATCTTAAAGCCAGGAATGTCAAAACAAAGGACGTTATGACTTTGTTGGAGAGGGTTAGGGTTAGGAATATAGTTTGCGGATAGTGGTGGATTGGAATTAGCATGACCAGTATGTGAAGGGAACAGCTGAGCTGAAGCATTAGAGTCAGCCATAGATGGTTGAAAATGTAAATTAGCATCTCCGTAAAGCATTGAAGTATTATTATTATTGTTCATCATGGGTTGATTATAGTTGTAATTAATATCTGATGGATAACCATTATAATTGTTATTTGTGAAGGATTATTAGGTTCCATTTTGAATAATGTAATTTATTGACTTGTTAAATTAATTGAAATATTTTTTTTTTTTTTTTCGTTATGGATGAATTTTTTTGTGCCGTTTATATAATGATTGCGTTTTAATTTTTAAGATCTGATCGATAATCCATATTACAACATGTACAGTACAGTATAATGTAAAAAAAAAAAAAAAAAAAAAAAATTAAATTTATCGCTTTTTATGGATAGATTAGCTTTTTAATTGAATGTAATTACTTAGATTAAAATTTTCTAAAACATATTTAACGTTTTAGTATTGTTTTTGGAAATTACAATTTGATTTTACATTACTTTTTTGGTTATCCAATAATTTGTACAATACAAAACAAATCAACGTGGTACAAACAAAGTAATAAATTTGACTCAGTCCCGACTTGGTTCCTCGGAGTATAATTGTATCAAATGAACGGAGATTTCGGCACCATTAATTGAGAGGTTTGCTATTAATCACGTTACGGATCGTATTACCTTAACGTCGGCGCTCTAAACTTTCGCAATGTCAATAAATAAATGCCAATCAATAAAACTCTAATTAATTAAACTGCGCAATTACGAAAAATTGTGTGATAAAATAATAAGAAAAATTGGAAATTAAAAAAAATGCAAATATGAAATTATAATGTTAAAACGGAGAAAGCGAAATATCGCGAAGGGATTAAAGGAAGATTTTTAAGGTATGCAAATATAAGAAGGGCGAGCGTAGAATGTTAAGCTGTTTAAGGATTTCCAGCTCAGCCTGGCATCCTGCCATTTTGTTATCCTGCCAACCAATCATTAATTATGTTCCTAGCTCGGAACATTTGGTCAGTAAGATAAGGTTGATATTAATCGCCTTATAGTAGTCCGATAATTTAAAACGTTATTTAGCTTAGGAGGTCTACTGAAAAACCATTTTCCTGCCAATCTCCCATAAGTTCATTCAGAGATGTAATATCGAAATTTTTTTTTTTTTTTTATCTCCAGAAATCCTTGTAAATACCATGATTTTCTCTCATATCACGTTATATTCACTTGTGATCTAAATAAATAAAAAGAAATAGGGTGTATAACCTTATATTTTACAAATAACAGATTAATGTTAAAGGTCTAAAATAAATCATCGTAATTAATGAAAAAATTTTGTAAGGTTTACATGGAAAAGTATATGAAAATCTTTTACGCGATAATTTTGTATTTAATAAAGTCGTATTATTTATTAGTATCAAATTTTTTACTCTCTCTATTTCAATGAATAATTACACATATCAACTTTCTTCACCATTACTTCTCAATTTATTGGTTTAGAATAACTTCTATGGAATTGTCAATTTTCATAATAATGCGTTAATCAATTTGTTAACAATAACGATGTATAATATATTATAATAAGAACAAAAATAAATTTCTTTAATAATTATATAGCCTAAACTGTCTGTTTATAATTAACAATAAAGTATGATTCCTTTCAAAAGGTCTGACTTTGGAATAAATTTAAATCAAACTTGTTCGTTGTTCGTAAAAATGTACTCTATGATAATGAGCTCTTTTAACCTGTGAGGTGTAATAAAATGAGGGATATAGATATTAAGACTATGCGGAATTTAGGCCAATATTTTTTTCTTTATTGACAAGAAAGTTTAATGAGTTTAATTCGAAGGTCGATATTTTTTTTATGCAATTTATACGTTTGGGGTTGGATTCAGATAATCGGTAATCCAATGATTTATTTCGATTTGTGAAACTGCTAAAAAAAAAACCCCAGATTTACCTTAAACTAGACTTAGCAATTTTTTTTCGGCATTTTCGTTGCGACAAGTTTGATATATCATGAATTATTACGATTTTGAAATATAACGAGCAATTTAATTTAATTCTTAATCGAACCGAAATGTTAAACAGTTTTTTAGTCCTTGAATTAGGGTCAAAGATAGAGCTAGTTCTGCACCATTCCAGAACTATTGTGGATATCGATTTATATTTTACTATAACTGATAACGACAAATCAAATTCCTTTTATTAAGATATTATCTAAATTCTAAATATATTAAAAGGTTATTACGACATAGCTGATTGTAATATCCAAAATCTTCTAAGACCCTTCAAAACAAAACTTTATATTAATTGAAATATTAACAATGTCCAAACATTCATACAAGGTAATTAATGAGTTTGATAAGTTCCGCTTTATATTATCCGCATCTCCAATGATCTTATGAGGAAATAAAACATGTTGAGATTTCTTTTCTCTCAGCATACTCATTGACAGTTAATCTAATGTCGATTTGAAGATATGTAGGCTTTATTTGTAACCCTTCAATGGCAGACATAGCTTCTATGTAATCATACTCCGGTTCTTTTAAATTTCTTTAATTAGTTTTACGAACAATGTAAACGATAATTAACATGTAATCATTTGTTACACAAACCTATAAATATTATTGAATTATTCGCATTATTCCCCCATTTTCTAATAAAATTTATCACAGCACCACTACGTAAAGAAGGATGCCCAGCAAAGATCACACATGGCTCCTGATATTTTTCTTGAAGTTTACTATCAGCCCTAGATGCATAATATAATGTCATCTGTTCAATCATCTCTTGATGGGCATCGGATTATCCGGTAGATACATTTTTTGCTGTCTCTTTGTACATATCCTTATTACACAAAATAAACATGGTGATTGGCATCAAGGTGATAAAATATACCATGATTAAATAAATAAATATTACTTACCATTCCCCACATATATTAGAATAATTTAGTGATTCTTCCGCTATGGGCGATACTGCATAGAACGGAATACTACATAATCTCATAGCTTTCAAGCGTTGATCCAAAAAATCCATTATATCAAAAATAATTCCATTCATTGTACAAGGAAATAAAACATTTCCTTTGTTTTTTAAAGTATTTGCTGATCAAGTGTAACAAATTAGTTGTTTTTATATTTATATAAAAATTTAATGCATCATTTAATCGTACCAACACATTGACCAATTTCCATAAGAATGTTTTCAAATCTAGAGCTATCCCCATCACGCAAGTCGCTAAGGATAACAACGTCAACATCATTAAATACTGCTTCATCAAATGGCAAAGGATGTATCGGTATCGTGGAAGATGATGATATTACGGCAATCTACATCAACCAGAGATATTTTATTTATTTTATTTAATTTTTAAATTTTTTTTTTTTTTTTGAATTTAAGAATTAAAATGTTATAAACAGTAAACTACCTTTTCTCCACCACAATCGATCATCCAATTAGCGGCACCAAGACAATAACCTGAACTATACGCAGTAACTTCAAGTTCGAATAAGTTCTACCAAGTATGTCGGAGATTACCTTAATACGAATAATAATATATTAAAAAATATAAATAAAACCTACCAAATGCTCTCCAAATCTTACGGGTCTCACTTTATCAATACATGATTGAATGTCCGCTATTGAATATAAAGATCGTGCAACATTCCAATCCGCAGTAACACCCGAGAAAATGTTCGTAGACC